AATGATATATTTACTATAGGATGAATGTGAAGTTAATGTTCTCCCATGTAAACTATCATATAATTCACAATAAAGCATTAAAAAAAAAAAAGTTTGTGTGAGATGAGATCTGAAACAACTCATAAAAGAGCATAAACAGAAATGTTTGGACATCTGCAAAAAACTTGGACTGATACTCTAAGGAAGATAAAAGTTTCTTACAAAAATGTATTGCTAGTGACGAAACATCACTATGAGCCTGATAGTAAATGACAAAAGTATGGAATGGAAACATCCTCAATCGTCGACCAAGAAAAAGTTCAGAAGTTAACCATCAGCTGGAAAACTGATGCTTACAGTTTTCTGGGATTCTCAATGGTCAGTATTGGAACACTGTCAGAAAAAGGTTCAACAATAAACAGAGCTCATTACAGTGAGATGCTCACTGAAGAGCTGAAGTCTGAATTTCAGATTAAACTCAGAGGACAGCTGTGCAAGGGCATTGTGATCTTGCATGACAATGCATGTCTGCACACCTCTGCCCATACCTTTGACAAACTTCATTTTGAGGTGTTAAAACATTCTTCCTATAATTCTACTCTTTCTCTAGAAGACTTTCACTTGTTTTTACCTGAAAGAAGCCCTTCAAGGACTAAGATTCACCTCTGATAAAAAAGTGAAGACAGTGGTGCATTCATGACTTGCAGCTGAGATGAAAAACATTTTTTTAATAAGGGAATATGAAAGTTTGTGGACAGATGGGCAAAGGATATTGAAAAGCAAGGAGATTATACTGAAAACTGATGTATTTGTCTATTCTAAAAGTTGATTAAAATATATACTACAGCCAGAGTGTGTATAATTTTGTACTCACCCTCATGTGTGTGTATTAAAATATTTTCCTTTTAATAAATTTGTTTAACAATATTATGACCTATAATACCTTAAAATTTGATGAAATAATTTTGAATTGCATTGGTGGTATTGTAGGATAATGGGACAGTACAGTTTGGTGTGAATAGTGGCTCAGTTACTTACTATTTGTGTAATCTTAAAGAAGCTGGTTCTACTGGTCCTAAAATTTCCTGTAAACTTACTATACCAGTTACGAGGATAAGGAAATTTATTTCCCTAGCATGATTGTTTTGTAGGTAGTAATGTCATTGTGTATAACTTGTGAGAATCCATGATATTCACTACTTAATTTATTGCATTAATTGTGCCAAATCAGTAAGAGGTACACTCTGGTTTTTCCTTTTGTATCCTCATACCTTCAACACAAATTCTTCTCAGACTTCTCTCCAAATCTTCTCCTGAGGTGCTGTCTACCCCTAATTAGTAATCATTTCATCTGTAAAGTTCGCTCCTCAGCATTCATTATTATTATATGCCAATGGCTCCATACTATGGCAGTTTACATGGCACAGACAGCGTTGTATTTCAGGAAAGATCTTGGTATGTTGTTTCTGATGATGAATGTGATGCCATTTCTCTTCAATTTGTCATTTCTGGCATAGTAAACCATGTGATTATCAGGTTCAAAATGGCCAATACCAGTCCATTTCAGCTCACTAATGCCTAGGATATTGATGTTGATGCGTTCCATTTAATTTTTGACAATTCCAATTTTCCTAGATTTATATTTTGTACATTCCATGTTCTGATTATTAATGGATGTTTACAGCTGTTTCTCTTCATTTTGAGTTGTGCCTCATCAGCAAATGGAGGTTCTGAGGGCTTTACTCCATTCACGTCATCATGGTCAGCTCTACTTTGAGGAGGCAGCTTTTCCCCAGTTGCATTTTGAGTGCCTTCCAACCTAAAGGGCTCATTTTCCAGCACTGTATCTGATAGTATTTCACTGTTGTTCATAAGGTTTTCAGTGACTAAATATTTGGAAGTAGTTTTTCTCTCCTTCTTCCTAGTCTGTCTTCAACTGGAGGCTCATCTGAAACCTGCCTGCTGTTGGTGACCCTGCTGGTATTTAAGATACCAGTGGAATAGCTTCCAGAATCACAGCAACACACAAGCCATGACAGTATGACAAACTGACAGAGGAGGGGTGGTCCATGCCCCTAGCCCCACCAAATCCACAGTCATCAATTTGTTTCTGACTCATAGTGACCCTATAGGTCTCTTAGACCTATAGGTCTAAGGCTGTCATCTTCTCTTTTAAGTTTTTATTGTGATCTGAGTGAAAGTATACAGAGAAAGTTCCGGTCAACATTTCACACACATTTTTTTTTTAAACTTTTTACTGTGAATTGAGTGAAGGTTGACAGAGCAGATCATCAGCTTTACTTTCAACAAATCATATACTTAGTTTCATTTCAATGACTGGAGTCCCCTCTATGTAACATCAAAGAACTCTGGTGACGTAATGCGTTAAAAGTTGGGCAGGTAACTGCAGTGTTAGCAGTTTGAATCTACCAGCCACTCCAAAGAAGAAAGATGAGGCTTTCTGCTCCTATAAAGATTTATATCCAGGGAAACCCTATATAGGGTCACTGTGAGTCAGAACCAACTCCACGGCACATCACCACCACCACCACCATGGTAACATCACTTGCCCCACTCTCTCCCGATGAGTCTTACTTTCATTCAGCTGTCTTTTCCAACCCTTCTGAGTGTTGTCCTTTTGAGCTTGAATGGTTGACCATTCAGTTGTATATATACCGCACTAATGTTCTTCCCCCCTGTGTATTTATCTGCTGTTTAGTAATGTTCTCCCCCTGTGTATTTATCTACTGTTCACTACTGTTCTTCCCCTATGTATTTATCTACTGTTTGGCTGGAAATTGAGCCACAAAGGTCAGTTCCATTGCAGACTTGAAGGGTGACTAAGGGCCATTGTCTCGGGTTCCTCCAGTCTCTTTCTGACCAGTAAACCTGGTTTGTTTATAATATATGAAGTAGACTGCCATATATTCTCTATCAAAGCAGATAGTGGGTTTGAACAGCTGACATTTGGGTTAGAAGCCAAGCACATTAACCACTACACCACCAGGATGCCTTTCAAACCCCCCCACCATCCCCCAGGATGAAGCATTTCCATATATGGGTTAGATTAAGGGAATGCCACCCTTTTGTGGCAACCCACGGGGTCCACAGAGAGTCCCAGTAAGGGAAACTGAGGCTCTGACTGGACTGTGGCTGGGCTGAGACCATGCCCTGGGCTTGGACAGTGATGACACATGGTCCTTCTGAAGGACAGGAGGAAGATTCCTAGAGCATCAGAGCAGGCCATGCAGAGGGAACGGGATCTAGAAAGGAAAGTTCCGTGCAAGGGAGCTGAGATGGGACCAAGCAAAGCAGAACATCAGAAAGGAGGGGCGTTGGCAAGGGGCTTGACTGCCCTGGACAACCACTTGTTTTCTTCTAGGAAAAGGGAAGAGGTAGGTGTAGGCCCTGAGATGGAGCAGGTTCTCTTCCAAGTTTGTCTTTGGAGAAAACCATGCAGGTTCTAGAATGTTCTAAGCAGTCAGTCTGTAATAGCAAATCGAACCATGAAAGTGGCAGCAGGAGAAGGAATCCACAAAGCATGTGGTGTCTGACACATCGGTATCATACAGCACGAGCTTGTGGATTCTAGAGCCAGAAAGCAAGTTCCATAAAAATAATTACCTACAGCCTGACACGTGCATAGACATTCAACTGTATGCAAACTAACCCGGTGTAGTATTCAAGAAACCACTGCTGGTGGCAAGACTACAAAGAAAAACAAACAGTAAACAAACTTCGGGATAAACTTTCTTATTCGACGGAATAGGGAGGGAGAAGGCTTAGTTTTCTCAGCTGGGTGGTGTGGACTTGGATTTTTTTTAAAATTGCTTTATTGGCGCTTATCTATTGTGAGAGAGCAGTTCTATGAGCTGTAGTATATTCATAGACTTATGTGGCCATCCCCGTAATCCAGTTCTAGAACTTTCCTCACCCCAGAAAGTTCCTTTGTTCCTATCTGCCCCACTCCCACCTCCAATCTAGGCAACCACTGATCAGCTCTCTGTCTCTATGTTGTTATGTGCCATGGAGTCGGTTCCTGTACAGGGTTTCCAAGGCTATACATCTTTATGGAAGCAGAAAGCCTCATCTTTCTCCTGCAGAACAGCTGGTAGTTTCGAACTGCTGACATTGTGGTTCACAGCCTGATTTGTAACCACTACGTCTGTACAGTTTTTAAAAAGTATTAATCTGTAGATCTTAAGTATTTTGTTTGATATATACAGTATATATATTTTTTTTTTCTTAAATGTTTTATTGTGAATTATGTGATAGTTTACATGGGAGAACATTAATTTTACATTCATTCTATCATATAGCGTCTCATTGCCATGGTTACAATCCCCTCCCTTCATCATCAACCAACCAAAGGGTATACCCTGCAATCCTGCCCCCCGTACCCCCAAGGTCTTCAGCACACAGTCGCTCTACCTCTCTGGATCTAAAGTCTCCAGCTGCTCCATCGCTCCAAGTCATCATCGCTGCCTCCATTTCAGGCATCACTGCTTCTCTGGGCAGGGTACCACTCTCCGCTACAGTATATATTTTTAAAATTCTTTTTAAGAAAAAAACAACAACTTAGAGCCAACCTGCCTTGAACTGGATTTGCCATGAGAAATGAGGCAATAATGCACCCCCACCCCTACCCCCCAATAGTAAGTGTGGCGCTGGTCAGACACAAGAGGCCCTTCTGATCTAATTGTAGACTCAGTATGAGCTGCAACCGGGAAGACCCTTAGTCTCTTCATTTTACAGAACGGAAAGTTGAGGCACAGATTGGCAGTGTTGGCCTGAGGCCACTCAGCCATAGGTCAGAGCGCAGACAACTGCATTGGGCTGACCCAGCCCGGTGCAGGTTCCAGGGCTCTGGGCCAGCTCCCTAGCTTGTCTCTGCTGCTGTGTGTTTCTGTCTCTACCTCTTCCTCTCTGTCTGTCTGCTTCTTTCCCTCCCCTTCTCTCCATATCTCTGTCTCTCCCTGCCTCCTCATCTCTCTGACTCTCTCTCTGTCCCCATCTCTCAGGCCTGCGGAGGGTGATGGTGCGGGCCCACCGGCAGGCCTGGTGCTGGCAGGACGAGTGGTGTGGGCTGAGCATGGAGAACATCCGCGAGCTGGAGAAGGAAGCACAGCTCCTGCTCTCCCGCAAGATGGCCCAGTTCAGCGAGGATGAGGAGGCCACTGAGCTGCCCAAGGATGAAGGCACCCAGGGCTCTGGGGAGCCCGAGCCCAACAGCAGCAGCAGTGGGGAGGCCCTGGCAGGGCGGGGCCTGAAGAAACAGTGGTCCACATCCTCCAAGTCCTCAAGGTCATCCAAGCGGGGAGGTGAGTTTATGTTACCGCCCCAGACCCTCTCACCCCGGCAACATTACTGGTGAACCTTGAGGCAGAAGTAGGGTTTACAAGAGCCCTAGGTGTCTGGTGTCCCCTCTCTCTCTCACTGGTGTCTGACCTGTGTTGGGCACCTAGTAACGGAGCCCTCCCCCAGCAACCCCGTCCTCCACACAGCCCACACCCTGCCCAGGTTATCCCTTGATAACAGAGTCTTAGTGTTAACACTTTACAGGCTTAGCCACACAGGGAGACCAACCTTCTCGTTCCAGTTCAATGCCACTCTAAGTGTCTACCTGGGCAGTTTCCCCAGACTCACTTGTACAGTCCAGGATAAGACAAGCAGGGCTCCCAAGTCGTCCAGGGCCCCAGCCAAGCACTGGGTGCCATGGGAAGGCCTGTCTGCTCCCAAGTTGGGAAACAGGCTCAAGGGCCTGCAAGGCTTCAGATCCTGGGACAGGCCTTTCTCAGGGTGATTTAGTGAAATTGCTGTGGCTTCTGAAAAAACAATCCAACAGAGCATACTGTGTAGAACATACAGAACCCCTGTACACAAACCCAGAACTAGGAGACCACACCTTTTATTTAATGGGGCCCACCCACCAGTCCTGCCAGTCTTGGCTCAGGTCAGACACAGGAAGCAAATAAATCACAAGACCCTCCCCCACTACTGACTGGCCATTCTCACATTACTCCCTGGGTACCTGTACCCCCATACTCCCTGGGATCAGCCAACTGGGAGAGGGGGTTGTCAGCAAGAATTTGAACACTCACTGCACCTCCTAGAACATGTACCTGCTTCAGTGGCAGCCTCTGGTTCCCTCCCCTGGTCATCTTGTGCCGGTGGTCCTGCTCAGATGCAAGGCCCCTTGGACTCTTCACAGCACCTTGGTCTGTGGGGCAGGGGCTGCGAGGGAGGCTGCTCCCCCTGAGCGCCAGGCTGAGTGTTTAGTCTGCATTTTGCCTTCCAGCGAGCCCTTCTCGCCACAGCATCTCAGAGTGGAGGATGCAGAGCATCGCCAGGGACTCAGACGAGAGCTCAGACGACGAATTCTTTGATGCTCATGGTATGCAGTACCACCACCACCACCAGCCCCCGACACACACACACCAGGAGTAGGGGGACAGCATCTCAAAGATAGGGTGCAAGTTGGAAGTGTGGCTTCAGGAGTTTGGAAGGGTTGGGGTAGGCACCTACAGAAAGTGTTGGGTGAACAGAGTACTAGAGAGGATGAGAATAAGTCACCAGGAGACCTGGCTCCCATGAGTCTGGGGTCTTTGGGGGTATCAGGATGTCCAGTGGGCCTGGCTGTGGTGGGGGGTGCGGGGGGCAGACCAAAAACACCAAACCTCCCCGGTTAGACACATTCTCAGACCTGGGCTGCTTCCAGTATGTAAATGTTTCTCTGAGCTTTGTGAAATATAACTTTGTATAATTTCATATTTTTTGTAATTACCTTATTTTTCCTTCATTAATACATCTAATGTAGAAACTTTCAGAGACACAATCAGAAAATATAAAACTTGTCCATTTTCTGCTATTCCACAATAAGCAAAATGAATGAATCCCCTCAGCCGTAAAGAATCAGAGTACAAACAAGAAGTGTGTTCTGTAGTTGGATGTCCCTCAGGGCTGGGGAGGTGGTCCCTGATGCAGGCAGCCCCTGGGTCTCCATATGAGGCCTGGACCTGACCTGAGGGTCACAGGCAGGACCACCCAGGGCCAGCCTCTCAAGCTGCCTCCTTGGCTTGGGACAGGCAGAGGCTCTCTGGAACGATGGCACCGTGGTTATCGGGCCAGCCAGCCATACAGGAGAAAAACCTGGGGGTTCAGTCTCCAGACCAAAGACAGGTGCCGTGCTTTGGTCCTGAGTCTGACAAACCTGGCTACAGCTGTGCTCTATCGTCCCTGCGCCACCTGCCTCCTCACTAGGCCTGAGTGGGCTAGCCCCTCCCAGAGAAAAGGCTTCGGGCAGCAGTGTGCCAGAGCCCAGACAACTGGTGCCACCTTCGTAGGAAACAGGAGTCACTGAGCTGAACTTTCTTGCCCCTTGAAAATTTTGACAGAAGGCAGCTCTGGAGGTGCGGGGCTGAGTATGCAGGCCTGTTAGTATGGGAGAGCCAAATAGTGTGTTGATGAAGCCCCCAGGCCAGTGAGGCCTGGGGAGTCTCCAAGGCTGCCTCCCCTGAATTGCGTCCTCTCTCTCCCCCTGCCCGCCTTCTGCAGAGGACTTGTCTGACCCAGAGGACATGTTCCCCAAGGACATCAGCAAGTGGAACTCCAACGACCTCATGGACAAAATCGAAAGCCGGGAGCCGGAGGATGCACCGGGTACTGGTACTGGAGGTGTGGGGCTGTGGCAGGAGCTCACCTGCTCAGGGCCATGCCTTGGTCCCCTCCACCCACTGCCCAAGCTCATAGGGTCCTCTGTGTTGCAGACGGTCTATACCAGCAGAGCACCCCTGGGTTCAGGGTGGCTTCCAGTGTGGAGCAGCTGAACATTATCGAGGTGGGTGCCTGAATGGGGTCGAGCTCTCAGATCAATGCACATCCCAGCCTCCCCCATCTGCCCTGTACCTGCCATATCCCTGGGGGTGCATCCCAGCAGAGGTGGACCATCTGAAGAGGCTTCTCCCCACTGTGAGAAAGTAAAAGGAGGCACTGTAAATTCCAGATCAAAAATAAGATCGTCACCTTCTTGCCAACCTGTCTGAAGAAGATAAACAGGCTGAGGCAGCTCCGGCGGCCTAGGCAGCAGTGAGGGCTACGTGACCGCCCCAGCGGGCTGCTTGAGGGGGCTCAGTGTGTCCAATAAAGCTGCCATGTGACTAGCGTGTCCTGTGGGGTTCCTGCTCCCCCTGGGCCATCAGAGCTGTTGGTATCAAGGCAGAAGCCAGGGCTATCCCAGGGGGTGGTGGCCCCAGGGACTGGACTCTAGGGAACTGGAACTGGGGACAGACATCCGCTCGCCCCTCGCCTATCTAGAGGAGCTAACTGAGGTGAGGAGATTTGGGTTCAGGTTGTTGTCTAGTGGCTACATGGGTAGAGGAAGCGAGCCCCACTTGCCAATGCACACAGCTTTGACTCCTCCAGGGAGGGCCAGGACCTGTGCTGCAGACCTGCCTCTGGTGGCCTTCAGGACCCATTGGCAGGGGGGTCATCATACAGAGTCTGATCCCACAGCCTGTAGGAACCCCAAGTGAGGCAGCTCTCTGGAGACACTAACCAGGGCCCCGGGGTCCCATTATTTGTGGTAGGGGAGCAGGTAGCTGGACTTAGGGGCTGTAGAGCAGTTGACTGTGAGGAAGGTGGTATCCCACCCGGGGAGGGCCCCCTCAGCACCCTTACCTGCCCTTGATGGCTGGGTTAAGACTCTGATGGGGGTGTTTTGTCCTTTTCTTGCTGCATCAGGGTCACACCAGCCTGTGACTCTGGCCCGCTGGTGGTGCGCTGTGAGTGTATTCCCACTCAGGCCAGCAGCAGGGGACAGGGTTCCAGGCCTGGGGAGCAGAGCTCCTGGGGACACACAGCTGGCCTCCACACCAGCCTGCCTCTCTTGCACTCTTGTTTCAGCCCCAAGTTCCCTCTCCCCCTCTGCAGCTCCCAGCACAGACCCATCCTCCCAGCTGGTCTCCTGCCTCCTCTCGCCCACCGAGGGCCAGTTCCAGGGCCAGTTGTCCCACCACATGCCCTCCAGGTAGCCTCAGCTGTCTCCTGGTTCCTTGTGGGCAGAATCTCCCTGTAAGCTCCCTTTCCCACCCCGAAGCTTCCTGACCTGATTTGGCAAGTACTCAAGTGGTCCCCTTGCACCCTCCCCAGTCACCCACAGAGTAAAGGCCCTTGGAGATGGTCTCACTCTGGCTTGGTAGAGAGGGCACTGAACATCAGACAAGTCACTCCTGAGTGACATCAGACAAGTCCCTAGACCTCTCTGGGCCTCTACTACCTGGTGTCTAAAAGGGACAATCCCACACCCTGAACACATGTGTTTGGGGCTGACCTGACAGACTGGCAAGGCCATTACCCCTGCTGAGTGAGGACAGTTCAGAGTGAGGGACCTCGCCCACCCAGGCTGCACTCAGGGCCCTGCCCTGTCTCTGAATGGGCAGCTGTCTTCTGGGGAAGCTGGGTCTTAGAGACAGTCAGGAACAGGGATCCTGGCCAAGGGAGAGCCAGCCCCACTGTAGATGGAGGAGAAAGAGCTTGCACCTGTAGGCAGAGGTCAGGGTCACTCCCCTGCTCAGGGTCGGAGGTCCAGGAGCCCCTGTCTGGTCAGTGATCCCAGCAGTGGCTTTGTCTGCGTGGGGCCAGACCACGGACAGCAGACATACAGACTCTTGGGCTCGGCATGGGCTCAGCATGGGGTGTGGGGTGTGTGCTTGTGAGGGACAGGCGCCTCCTCGGCCATGTGTAGCAGGGTCTCAGAGAAGAGAAGAACCACCCTAGCCCGCTGCTGCTCCTTCTGAGTCCCTGAGGAGCTTGAGTCCCTGAGGAGCTCCTCACTAGGCCATGTAACCATGTAACTGAGACCAGCCTTGTCAGAGAAAGCCCCAGAGTGAGGAGGACCTGGGCTGGAACCTGACACACCCCCTCCTGCCCCCAGGATGAGGTCAGCCAGCCACTGACCATGCCACCCTCCAAGGTGCACGTGCTGCTGCTGGTGTTGCACGGGGGCACCATCCTGGATACGGGCAGTGGGGACCCCAACTCTAAGCAGGGTGACACCAACACCATCGCCACCGTGTTCGACACTGTCATGCGCGTGCACTACCCCAGTGCCCTGGGCCGTCTCGCCATTCGCCTGGTGCCCTGTCCACCCGTCTGCTCAGACGCCTTCGCTCTTGTCTCCAAGTGAGTGGACTGGCCCTGCCCCTGCCTGGAAGTCCAACCCTCTCTGCCCCAAGGCAGCAAACACCAGGCAGGGGCAGAGCTCTGAGCCTCAGTTTGCATACCAGTAACTGGCGAATTTAAGGAAGCCCCACTAGTGCAGTGGGGTAGTGATTCAAACCCAGCAGCCACTCAGCAGGAGAGACATGTGGCAGCCTGCTTCCTTAAAGGTGACAGCAGGGGAAAACCTGTGGGTCAGCTCTCCTCTGTCCCCCAGGGTCGCTGTGAGTCAGAACAAACTCGAGGACAGCGGGTTTGGGTGTTTGGAGTTTGGTGGCTCACCTGGGAGTTTGGTCTTGAATATGCGTGCTTTCTCAGCCACACAGTCCCTCTGAGACCCCTGACCTGGCACCCATGCCAGCGGCAGGAACTGGTTACCCCTAGGCCTGTGGCCCCACACCCACCCAGGGTTTAGTCCGGAAGTGTCCCCCAGCCAGCTCCTCTCATTGACTGCCCCGCCCCCCATCTCAGCCTCAGCCCCTACAGCCACGACGAAGGCTGTTTGTCCAGCAGCCAGGACCACATCCCCCTGGCTGCACTGCCCCTGCTGGCCACCTCCTCACCGCAGTACCAGGAGGCAGTTGCCACAGTGATCCAGCGGGCCAACCTCGCCTATGGGGACTTCATCAAGTCTCAGGAGGGCTTGACCTTCAGCGGGCAGGTGAGTGAGGGGTGGGCAGGCCCTGAGACGGCCAGTGGTGTGGATGCTCAGACTCCACCTCCCTGTCTTCAGGTCTGCCTGATTGGAGACTGTGTCGGGGGTATCCTGGCCTTCGACGCCTTGTGTCAGAGCAGCCAGGCAGTGTCCGAGAGCCAGAGCAGCAGCCGCCGGGGCAGCGTGGTCAGCGTACAGGTACCCAGCCTCTACCAGCCCTCCCACTGAGGCCCAGGGTCCCCAAGAACAACAGGGAGCAGGGGTGTGCCTGCAAGCCCAGTGGAGCCCCAGCTCCGTGCCCTGTTCCCAAGCGCCTGCCAGGGGCTCACCATCCACAGGCAGGGGGCCCAGGAGAACACCAGCCCCAAGAGGGAGGTGAGAGGGCACAGCGGAACAGTCAGGGAATGCCGGCGACCCCAGCACAGGTCTGAGCTGGCCCTTAAGGGCTGTGGGCGTTTTTCTCAGAATCCTGCTCCCCTCAAAGCACTTGTGGAGTCAACAGGGGTAAAAGTATCTGGAGGTGTGACAGACAGCCTCTGGGTTCCTGCCGGGAAGGGTGATGGGGTCACTGTGTTGGGATCACACTGGTCAGGGTGATAGGCCCAGCTGGAATGAGTCATTAGGATGTGAGCAGTAGCCGAGCTGGTGGACAGTGCTGGCCCCCAGAGGGCTTTCAGGGAAACCAAGGGGACCAGCAGGTGCTGGGAGTTGGGAAGGGCCCAGGCCAGTGCCCACCTGCAGTCACCTGTTCGGGCTGTTCCAGGACACTGACCTGCTGTCCCCGGGCATCCTGGTGAACACAGCACACTGCTGTAGTGGTGGGGGCTCCGGCCTGGAGAGCAGTCGGCACCTGAGCCGAAGCAACGTGGATATCCCCCGGAGCAACGGCACTGAGGACCCCAAGAGGCAGCTGCCCCGCAAGAGGAGCGACTCGTCCACCTACGAGCTGGACACCATCCAGCAGCACCAGGCCTTCCTGTCCAGGTGCGGGGGATCCTAGAGGGCCCTGTTATGGCCCCAGTCCTGGCCCTGGGAAACCATATGGGGTCTGAAGCCCTCCAGCAGGAGAGTGTCTTTTATGCCCTGGGTCATGTGAGCCAGGGCAGACGGAAGCCTGAGGCTGGGCTGGGCTGGGACAGAGTCACAGCAGAATTGACCAGGGCACTGTGGTCCAGTCAAGATGGCCAGGAAGGCGGTGGGCAAGACTCACTTGGACATGATGAACCCTGGGGGCCATGTGTCCAAGGGCCCAGGTCTGACTTGTCGTGCCTCCACCCACCTGTAGCCTCCACGCCAGCGTGCTGCGGACCGAGCCTGGCGCCCGCCGCTCCAGCAGTTCAGCCATGCTGGAAGGGGCCCTCGGCAGGTTTGACTTCGAGATTGCCGACCTCTTCCTCTTCGGGTGCCCACTGGGGTTGGTCCTGGCCTTGAGGAAGACAGTCATCCCTGCCCTGGATGGTGAGAGTCTGTAGGGGCCAGGATACCCCATCACAGGGCCCGTTTCTGTCCCTGAAAATGCCTTGCTCATTTTGCTTCCCCTCAGCAACTCAGTCACCCACGGCACCCTTGGGAGCAGAGGCCATTTCACAGTTGGGGAAACTGCCATCCAAGGAGGAAAGGGTTTTCCCAGGGTCTCCCTACAGGAAGAAAATCAAAGGCAGGTGCTCCCCAGTTCTCCTGTCCTGAGGACTCCCAGGCTTTGGAGAGACAATGAGAAAAAAACTCCCAGCCACGGTCTCGCAGGAAGCCTCCTCCCAGGCCATGCTGGTGCCCTGGCCTCGCATCCCACAAGCTCAGCAGTCCCTGCCCTGCACTGTGGTCCCCCAGCACAGATCCCCGGGCAGGACCCATGTTTCAACTTAGATGACAGAGGGGGAAAGTGGGGCTCAGAGAGGTTTAGAGTGAGTCTGCAGTAGCACTAGGGTTGAATCCAGACCCTCTGTCCCTTCAAATTCTGTCACGTTGCAAGCTGGAAGAAAATTCTATCGCTCTATAGGAGTCCTGACAAGTAAGTAAGCCCCGTCATGCTGGGGCCAGTGTGCAAAGGTAGCTGGCTCGCTGGGCGGGCCTTACCTGTGCACCTTCACCCAGAAACACTGCCATCCATGCAGATTCAGGACAAGACCACTGGCACTGTGCTTTGTGTTCCTTGTCTGAGGGGGCAGGAAGGGAGGGAAGTGAAATGAATTCTGGGGTCCCCAACCACAGATAAAGAGAACGAGGCCAGAAACACACATAACAGAGAAAAGGAGTGGATTACAGCTGCAAGCCTGATTGGAAAAGACCAGCGAGTTTTGCATTGAGTCAGGGCAAAGCAGCGTTCACAAAGTAGCTTTGTGTGTGTGCTTTTAAACCTCACAGTTTATTTTCAAATGAAGTATTTTCCTTTTGGAAACATTTTTCAATTTCAGTCAAAAAGAACAAAAACTATGTAAATCCTATATAAGGATAACTCCTCTGAATGTAGGAGTCCTGGTGTGGCGCTGTGGGTTAATGCACCAGACTGCAAAGCCATTTGAACTGCAAGGTCGGTGGTTCAAGGTCACCAGCTGCTCCTCGGAAACCCTATACAGAGTTGCTATGGGTCGGAACCACCTCAACAGTTCTTCACAATAATGCAACAACAACAACTATGAATGTATTTTCCTAGGGAAGAAATGTTTATTGTTATTTGATCAAATTTATTATGCATGTGCATAGTATAGGTGTAGTGGATTCCATGTTGGGCTATTAGTCACAAGGTCGGAGGTTCAAACCTACCAGCTGCTTCTCAAGAGAAAGATGAGGCTGTCTGCTCTGGTAAAGAGTGACAGCTCTGGAAACCCTAGGGAGCAATTACACTGTCCTACAGGGTCAACTCTGAGTCAGACTCAGTTCATTGGAGTGGGTTTGCTTGGTTTTTGGGGTTTTTTTCAACATAGCACATGGGGACGTCAAAGAGTTTGTGGAAAATAGAATTAAAAAACAATGGCATTTTTCCAAGAACTTTCTGAAGTCCTCTTCATATTCTTTCACAGAAATGTGATCACCTTTACATACTAGTATTCCTTTTCTTACTGTAGTAAAATACAAAATTTATAGCAATGTAGCTCTTTGTAAGCCAGTAATTCACTAACTTTTAGCTCATTTGCAACCTGGGCAGCAGCCTATACCAGTTTTCAGAACGTTTTCATCACCTCAAAGAAAAACTGTACCCTTTACATAATAATCACCATTGCCCTTAGCCGCTGGTAACCACCAGTCTACTTTTTGTGCCTCTACCAATTCCGGACATTTCATATAAATGGACTCATACTCCCTGTATGTCTGGCTTCTGTCCCTTAGCATGCTCCTATCAAGGTTTGTCCATGTTGTAACATGTTTATGTGGCCTGTAGCATATAAGCAGGACTTCCTGTTTACAGCAGAATTGTATGTTTATTGAACTCAGGATCCATGAGAGGAATAAGTGAATTGTGCATGCATTCATACATTCATGTGACCTTCCTAACAACTCTGACAAGTGCCTTCATTGTTTAGATTCTATTAAAGCTAGTGGGCCGGCGTAGATCTGAGACAGCTCCCAGAATACCTGAGAGCTGGACAGGGAGGGAGGCTTGTGTTCTGTGCCTTTCATGGCAGGCTCTCTTGCACTTTAAAAACCTTTTATTATTGCTTTCTTTAGAACTATTTCGATTGGTAAAAAATGTTAAGTGCAGTGGAGTTGGTTTCAACTCCTAGCGACGATGTATACGGCTTCTGAACCTTTAAGTCTTCCTGGCAGTAACAGTCTCGTTACCCTGCTGAGCTGAGCGGCTGGTGGGCTCCCACTGCCAACCATTGCTTTGCAGTCCAGTGCTTACCCTATGGAGTGCCATGCTCCACAATAAACAAATAGCTGCTCAATAAAGGAACAAAAGAGCCTTGGTGGCACAGTAGTTAAGTACTCGACTGCTGACCCAAAGATTGCAGGTTTGAACCCACCGCCACTCCATAGGAGAAAGACCTGGTTGTCCACTCCTGTAAAGGTCACAACCAACAAATCCCATGCAGAAGTTCTCCTCTGTCACTTGGGTTCCATGTAAGTCGAGATCGACTCCATGGCCCCTAACAACGACACAAAAGCCACTGCTGAGTTGATAAAAGACATAGCCTGTGACAAGGACAACCTGGGATCCAGTTCCAGAATCTCATATGTGTCCCCTCATCCAGACCATTGGGGCCAAGTTGGTTCCCAACTCTGTAATCCCCTCCCCATCCCCTCCAGTTTTCCAGCTGCGGCCTGCCTGCCAGCAAGTTTACAACCTGTTCCACCCTGCCGACCCGTCAGCCTCCCGCCTAGAGCCCTTGCTGGAGTGCCGCTTCCACGCCTTGCCGCCCTTCAGCGTCCCCCGGTACCAGCGCTACCCACTGGGGGACGGCTGCTCCACGCTGCTGGGTAAGGCCCTGGAGGCCAGCCCTGCTGTGTCCTCCACTGCGCCCCAGGCTCTCCCTCAAGGTGGGGTAGGCGGGTAGGGGGTGGACGGGTACTTGCTGCAGACTGCCCATCAGCCTTTCCAGCCCAGCCCAGCCCAGCTGCGTGACAGGCACCTTCATCCATCCTGGGGGTGGGGAGGGGCTGAGGGGTACTTCAAAAAGCTTGTGAAAATGGAACTAGATGATCATGGAATTTCCACAAACTTTCTGAACCTGCTCATATATGTATATGTGTGTGTGACTATGTGTATGTGTGTCCCGAGGGTGCCCACACAAGTGTCTGTTCTTGTCCTGTTCTCTCCCCCCTCATCCGTCTGCTTCCAGTTGAGAGCGTGCAGAGACACCCAGAGCTCGTCCTGCAGGGCGGCCCCCTGGCCCCCCTCCCATCTGGGGATGGCTTTCTGGAAACCAGTATCCCTGTGCCCTCGTCCTTGGGGCAGGATGGCTCCCGCCAGAGCCCAGGCTGTGCTGAGCGTGTGTACCCATCTTCCCCCCTCCTTGGTGGTGGTGTCACATCAATGGAATGCTGCTTAGAGCGCCCCGCCCCCCCCCCAGCAAACCAAGCTCAGTAGGGATAGATCTAGGGGGTTGGCCTTGGGGCCACTTACCTCTGACTCACAGAACCCACCAAAGTCAGTCTCTGTTAACATGGCCCAGAGAAGTCATGCCATGCCATGCATCAGCCCCAGCACCAGGATTCCATGCATCCCTCACGAGGCAGGGCCAGACAGGAGGGGACAGCCTTCAGTCCCAGTGCCCCCCAGTGTGTAGTGAGCTGTGTCTTCTGGGTCTGCCCCTTCCCGCTTGAGGATGTCAGGTGCCCTCTGTCTCCCCCTCCCCTCTGTTCTGCACTCAGCCCTGGGCTCCAAACATCTGCTCTTGTCCTCAGACAAGGCCCATTCCAGGAGAGCTCCCTGTGGGCTCTGAGCCTTAGGGTCCCTGGAAGCTGCCCTATTAGCACCCCGCTGCAAGGCTACCTGGCAGTAAGACCCAGAAAGCACTAAAATCCAGAGCTAGCTATGCGGGTGAGAAGGGTAGCTGGGTGGGGAGCCCCGCCTTTGCCTCCCTAGTGTCTGTGTCTGTGCATCCATCCCAGCCCGTCCTTCCATCTGTCCTTCATTGTCTGCCCTGTGCCTGCTCTCAGCCCGACGTGCTCACTGCCAGCTGGGCCCAAATGCCACAGCTCACATCTCTCCTGTTTCTTGGGCTCGGGCCCTCTGACCCCTGGTCTCCGGTCCCTGCCCCCTGTAGCAGATGCCCTCCAGATCCACACCACCGTCTTCCAAGAGCTTGCTGCGCCCTCCTCACCTAGCACGGCACCCCCAAGCCGAGGCTTCCGCCGAGCCAGTGAGATCAGCATCGCCAGCCAAGTGTCAGGTGTGGCCGAGAGTTACACCGTGTCCACCATCACCCAGAGTGAGTACATGTGCCCCAAGGAAGCAGCCCTGCCCTTAGGGGCCATTTGGCCAGGGGCCTACAGCAGGCATCTGGTGGGTGGAGACAATCCAAATTGTCAGTAGTCTGAGGGTGAGAAAGCCCTCCAGTCCTTGAGGGCCCTGGAGAGAAGATGCTGAGGGTGGGCAGCTGGTCAGGAAGTTGAGAGTGGGCAGTGAGGAGAAGGTTGGGACAGTGCCGTTAAGCTGAGATCCAGAGTAGAGTCATAACTGGGAGTGTCAAGGATCCCTCATGCTGACCCCAAGGGACTCCCTCTGCACATGATGCCTGTCTACCTCTGGAAGCAGAGTCCAGGGCCTCCGAAACATGCCCGCTGGTCTTCCTGACAGAGGCCACCGCTGTCAGTCCATCCTTCTGCCAGGCTGATGGGCTCTGTCCAGCTGCCTGTGGAAGTGGGAAGGGATGAGGGACAGGTACCGCTTGTGGGGGTCCTCCTGTGAGGAAGCTGAGGGGCCCTCCATAACTGAGAGGCCCCTTGTTCTTGCTCCTCAGAGGCCCCAACACTGCTCAGCCATACCCCGAGCATCAGGCGCCTGTCCCTGCTCGCTCTGCCTTCCCCCCCCCCCGCGCCCCCCAGACCCCGACCTCAGGGCCGGCACCCAAGCCCCAGCCTGGAGAGGGTCCCCTACCTCCCAGACTTGGACCTCAGAGAAGGTACCGGGTGTGCTGCCCTCTGCCAGTACACTGTCCTGTTGCTTGCGGCCACTCAAATGTTTCCAGGCACGTTTCACTGCTCACTTAGATCCTGCTGAAGCCTCACCACACACGGAGCTGGGGGCTTAGGCTGGGGGGACTTGCCCAGGAGGAGACCAGGAACAGCTTGGGTTTGGGGATTAAAGGAACCCCATGCACTGGTGCAAGATCTGGGGCCCAGCCCCCAGACTACTCACAAGCTTGGGGTTACTCAACTCAGAGTGGCCCATCCAGTGGATATCTAGTTGCTGGGCAGCCTCGCTTAGACTTCAGGTATTGGCACCCCAGGCCTGAGAGTCCCTCACAGCCTTGAGGCCTAGGAGGGCCATTGGGGGGTAGTGGGGACTGGGAAGGACCACTGGCTCAGTAACAGTCCCCTTGCCTCCTGGCCTCCTTGGGCACCCTAGGTCTCGACCTGGTACCAGGCTGCCCTCTGGGTACGTTGGTACCACCTTGCCATTGCATCCCTCCTTCCTGCTCCTTTCACCAGCCCAGGAGGACATGCTTTGGCTGCAGGCTTTCTCCTCCATTGGAGGGAGGGGCTGAGCCAGGTGACCTCCAGGTCCCCAGCTACTCACAGCTCCCCTCTGCTAGTTGCAGCCAAGTGGTGGGGCCAGAAACGCATTGACTACGCACTGTACTGCCCGGACGCACTGACGGCCTTCCCCACCGTGGCCTTGCCTCACCTCTTCCACGCCAGCTACTGGGAATCCACTGACGTGGTGTCCTTCTTGCTGAGACAGGTAAGGGGCCTACCACAAGGGACTTTGGTGACCCCACGCACGAGGATCAGAACAGGAAACCCAGATGAGGCTGGCCCATGGCCGTCTGTCCCCTCCAGGTCATGCGGCATGACAGTTCCAGTGTCTTGGAGCTGGACGGCAAGGAGGTGTCAGTGTTTACCCCCTCCAAGCCTCGGGAAAAGTGGCAACGCAAGAGGACCCACGTGAAGCTGAGGGTGAGGGGCTCATTTATAGATGAGCAAACTGAGGCTCAGGGAAACATGCAGTCTAGGGCTGTGGGGCTGAAGTCATCACCCCATTTTACAGATGGGAGAGTTTAGCAAGGCTTCCTGCTGTCTCCAAGACCACTCAGTTGGACCAGACATGAACCACCTGGCTTCAAGCCCATGGGCGATCCCAACCATCCCTCCACTCCTCATCCTGCTCCAACTTTGCTTTCTCTCCTCCAGAATGTGACAGCCAATCACCGGATCAATGATGCGGTGGCTAACGAGGATGGCCCACAGGTTTTGACTGGCCGTTTCATGTACGGGCCCCTGGACATGGTCACTCTGACCGGGGAGAAGGTAAGGACGCTGGGTCCCTCCAACTGGTAAGCAGCAGCCAGTGGCCTGGACAGCTGGTAACGACATGCCTGTTCCAGGTGGACGTGCACATCATGACACAGCCGCCCTCAGGAGAGTGGCTGTACCTGGACACACTGGTGACCAATAGCAGTGGACGTGTCTCCTACACCCTCCCTGAGACCCATCGCCTGGGTGTGGGCGTCTACCCCATCAAGATGGTAGTCAGGTATCGGTGCCAGGCAGCATCCAGGGTGGGCAGGCTGGGTGGCCTCTAGGGTCCAGTGGTTCTGATGAGCCTCCCCACAGAGGGGACCACACGTTTGCCGACAGCTACATCACTGTGCTGCCCAGGGGCACGGAGTTTGTGGTCTTCAGCATCGATGGCTCCTTTGCAGCCAGCGTGTCCATCATGGGCAGCGACCCGAAGGTGCGGGCCGGGGCCGTGGACGTGGTTCGGTGAGTAGGCACTGGTACCAGGAGGGTGAGCCGAGTTCCAGACAGGGCTCCTGAGGACCAGGTTGGGACCTGAGACTTGAGGCCAAGCTGAGTGTTGGGACTTTCCCCTGGGACTCGCCGACCTAGGTCACCACCCCTGGGTACTGGCTGAGTTGGACCAGAGCCATATCCCTCGATGGGCCATCATGAGATCAGGGAGGGTGGAGAGTCGAGTGTTACCCGTCCACCCTTGCCCACAGGCACTGGCAGGACCTGGGCTACCTCATCATCTACGTCACGGGCCGACCAGACATGCAGAAGCAACGGGTGGTGGCCTGGCTGGCCCAGCACAACTTCCCCCATGGCGTGGTGTCCTTCTGTGACGGCCTGGTACACGACCCGCTCCGGCACAAGGCCAACTTCCTGAAGTTGCTCATCTCCGAGGTGAGTGTGGGCAGTGTGACGAGCCGGGGCCGTGTAGCCGGGGGAGACAGCCGCTGGAGCCCACTTTCTCTCGCCCACAGCTGCACCTGCGCGTGCACGCAGCCTACGGCTCCACCAAGGATGTGGCGGTCTACAGTGCCATCAGCCTGTCTCCCATGCAAATTTACATCGTAGGGCGCCCCACCAAGAAACTACAGCATCAGTGCCAGGTGAGGGACAGGGAGGCCAGTAGCCGGGCGGGGGTGAGGCGGGGCAGAAGGGAGACCCCCGTGCCCCTGACGGCCTGTGCGTGTGGCTGCACCCGCAGTTTATCACCGACGGCTATGCGGCTCACCTGGCACAGCTCAAGTACAACCACCGGGCGCGGCCGGCCCGCAACGCGGCCACGCGCATGGCGCTCCGCAAGGGCAGCTTCGGGCTCCCGGGTCAGGGCGACTTCCTGCGTTCACGCAATCACCTGCTTCGCACCATCTCGGCACAGCCAGGCGGCGCCGGTCTCCGGCCCGAGCGGACACAGAACCAGTCGGACAGCGAACGCGAGCAACGGGGCCAGCGCAGCATGAGCATGGCCGCCAGCTGCTGGGGTCGTTCCGTAACCGGCCGGATGGAGCCCGGCCCCAAGTAGAGCGGCTGTCAGCCACCGGGGCTCCTTGGTGCTAGGCCCGGCGCCGGCTGGGCACACGGAGGGCTGCCTGGGGCCGCTCCGGCCGGCGGGGACTCTGGCAGCGCCCACTGGCCTCCCCGCCCCGCGTCAGATCTGGGGACAGGACACTTGGCCCCACTTGGCCCCGGAGACACGCGCTCTGCTGGCATCAGCCTGGGGCCCCCAGGTCTGCGCCCACATCCCTCCAGTTACTCCACTGGCCACCGCACCGGTTGCACACTGAGTTGGGCGCGCGGAGACCGGCACCCCGCGTGATGCAGACGCATGGATGTGCATGATCCCCCGAGTGACCTGAGAGGCTGTGGGGCGCAGCGCCCAGCGTAGCAGGCAGGAGACCAGATCCTGAATCCGGAGCCCGAGCTGGGCCCACGTGTCCCCGGGGCACGGAATCCTCCTGCCGCCAAGGCCCCTTGCTGGGCGAGCCCCTGCCCGCGTTTCTACGCCTTTCTACTTCTCAGATCTGATTTCTATGAGGTTTTTTTAAATGAGCAAACCTTGGCTGCTTTCTTAACTCTTTCCGTACCGCAGCCCCTCCCCGGGAGAACACCTAGCACTGTGACGGAGTCCAGCCCGGTTGGGATCCCCAGCCGGGTGGGGGCCGGGGCTCCTGGCCTCCGTGACCCTCCACCCCTCCCCCGTGAATCCCACTGAATTTCTACTTGGGTGTGGAGGTGGGCACACACTTGTTTTTTTTAATGCCAATTCCGTTTTGATGCCGAATCTAAGAAGCCACAGCTCGCTTCATTAGCTTCATGAGGGCAGTCACAGAGACTGCACTCCCACTCGGAGGAGCATCCGCCCTCCTCCATCAGCTACCCCCTGCTTTTCCTCCACCTGCGTCAGGTGCCCAAGGCCATCTTCAGCCTGCTGCCACCCGTGGGAAGAGCCTCCCATGGGCAAGGGCCCCAGGGCTGGGAGCTGGGGGGGGGGCGGGGGCACACAGATGGAGCTGACATTTTCCTGTGTGTAGATATGTACAGCCAAAGGGAGAGTGTAAATGTCCTGCCCTAGTGGGTCTCTACAGAATGAAAGCTATTTATTTTGTGCAGAGAAAAATGTCTGGAGGAATGGAACCTTCAGGGTTTATTCATATTTAAGATGTAGCTTTTTGTCTTTGTCTTGGGTGTCATGTATAAAGCAATGATTATTTTATGGACCAAGTTTTAATGTCCCAGTTGCAGCCAAAGTGCAATATCTGACTCCCCTCTGCTCCCCATCGGGAACCAGCTGGGCCCGACAATCACAGCCCCACCAGAAGCCCCTGTGGCCACTGCCTCCTTCCTCAGCTCCACGACAGCCCCATCTTGCCTCCAGCCTAGGTGACCAGCCATCTGGAGAAGTTCCTGGGAGTGCTGGGCATACCTGCAATAAAGGCCGGAGGCCTCAACCTGGGGACACCTGCCAGCCATGCCAAGGACCTCAGCAATAGTCTCCTGGGCCTCTCCCCCACCCCCCCACCCCAATTCTCTTCTGGATCCAGGCCTCCTTCCACTTCCCTCATGGTCCCCATGGCAGGTACTGCCTCCTCTTGAGGAAGCACCGGTTTTTTCAGACACCAAGAGAGGCAGGCCCAGTCCTCTCGAAAATACCAAAAATGTTTACAGTGTTGGGTGCTGAGCCGCTGTGCTCAGGCCTGATCAGTCATAACCAAAGGGTGAGGCGAGCCTCTGCTGACCGCCACCCACCCGAGGCCTGTAGAGTAAGCCTTAGCCCCTGTCCCTGACCCAGGCCCCCACCACCTGCCTTCTTGATTTCATCAAAGTGATTCCACGGAGGTCCCTGCCCACCCCAGTCCTGGCTTGTCTTCACATTTCCACCTGTCCCGTCTGTCGCTGTGCTGTCTGTCTGTATCTCTGGGCCAGTGTGTGAGCAGACTCACCCCACCCCCCTGCTGTCCATGCACCATCAGGCCTGTGTGTGCTCTGGGTTGTGTCATCATCTGTTACACCAATTAAAGAAGCAGGAAGGCTTCCTTCTGGGTCTCTTTACTGAGCGGCGGCCACAGGGCATGGGGCTGAGGGCAGGATGACTGTACCGTACAGTGGACGTGCTCTGGGCCAGGCCAGCCTCACAGTAACCCAGGGGGGCAGGTGCTGGTAGCCCCGCTGACTTACAAGGGATGTAGCTTGGAAGTGGGGGGCCAGGAGTCCCCCTAGTTCCTGGGTTCATAACCACTGTCATCTGCAAAACACAGTAGGAAAATCAGCCTCACTCCAGCTTGCAGGATGTCCTTGCTTTTGGGACCAGCTGGGCCTAAAGGTCTGAACCAGGCTGACTGGCATGAGGATGGGGGGCGGGGGTGTGGATATGTGTGAACTTGGCCACTTTGGCCTGTGCTCTGAGTTCACCACCAGGGGGGCACCCAAGTGCCCCCAACACTCCAGGAATCCTAGGTTTCTGACCTTAAATGCACTCAATCTAGTGGGATCTGGCAAGCTAAGAAGAGTCGAGTTTTATAAAGGAGCTCTGGTAGCATAGTTGTATCAAGTCCCAGCTGCTAACCTCATGATCAGTAGTTCAAAACTACCAGCAGTTCTGCAGGAGAAAGATGAGGCTTTCAAATGCTCCCGTAAAGATTTACAGCCTCAGAAAGCCTGTACAGGGTGGCTATGAGTTGGAACTGACTCCAGAGTACATCACCACCCTGTCTTCCCCCACAGCAGAAAAAGCAACAGAACAGCAAGTCTACAGCCAAGGCAAGTTTAATATCTGGGAATGGGCTCTCCGGGGTGTGTGGGGCGGGGGAGGGAGGTTACACAGTGACCCCAACCCACCAGGTATCCTGTCCACCCTGCAGCCCGCTAGTCGAGGCCCTCAGGGCAGCAGCCCAGCTCTCATCTGGAAGGCCAGGCCATCCCCTCTTGTGGCTTGCTGGGGAAGAAAGAAGCACATGGAGAGGGAGGAGTAGGTCTCTTTACTGAGCACCAGAGCGGGTCATGGTGCCGGATGATACCAACCTTGTTAATCTCTTTGTGTCGCTCTTTGGTTACAATTTCCTCCAAGACCTCACCGTCTCCTTTAATGAGCCTGGGGGTTGGAGGGAGAGGCCTGTGAGCCTTGAATGCCAAGACAGAGGGCTCCTGGGATCAACCTCCTTCTATCCACCCTGAGGCCCTCCCATTCAGCCCTAAGAGAGGGACAGAGGTGGGGGGTGGGGGTGGGGGGGCTGGCTGTGACTTGCCAGCCTCTGCCATCAGTCTGGCCAATCAGCAGGTTCTTTCAGCAGTTGCTCACTCTGGACCTGAGAAGCCCTACCTATAAGGCACTGTTTTGGACTGTCTTCTTAGATCAACAGCAGCTAAGGCCCTCATCATGAATGGCTCGTCTTGGGATAATGCTCCCAGTGTGTGTGTGTGTGTGGGGGGGTTGAATGGGGGTCGAGTCGGGCTGCATCCAGCAACGCCCACCTGGTGCGTCCTGTCTCGGGGTCCACCACCTTGCGGATAACACTCTGCCGGGCGTCCCATTCCTCCTTGGTCATTGGTTTCATGGCCTGGATGCGAGACTTCTGCTCATCGGTCAGGACTGGAAAGGGAGATGCAGAGATAGGGGGGCAGGCTTAGGGAGGGCCTCCTCCCCTCATCAGGAGCAGCGAGGTACCTGGGCCGTCCTCTTCTTCTGAGGCTGCTCGGTGCCACTGGTCCAACGAGGGTCCAGGCAGGGCCTCAGCCTGCAGCACCTTCGCTTTCTTCTTCAACTTCTTTCTTTTCTTCTTCTTTCTCTTCTTTTCCTTGTGCTTCCGCCGCTTCTTCCGGCCATCGCTGGAGGAAGACGAGGAAGACGAGGAGGAGGAGGAGGAAGAGGAGCTGGAAGAAGAGGAGGAAGAGCTGGACCGTGGTCTCCTCCGGGCCTTGTGCTTGCTTCTCTCTGTGATGCAGGGAGAACGTGAGGCTGGAAGGCTGGGAGGGGAAGAAGTAAACCTTGGCCCCTGGCGCTGGCGCTGAACTGGGGCTGAAACCCGCCTGGTAGGGCTTTCCAGGGCAGGGACCAGCGCCCTTTCTGGGCTCCAGGAGGTCACTGCCCACAAGAGGGGCGGTCAGCAACCACAAGTCAGGCCCAACTTCACAGAACCCACACTCCTCGTCTACTCCGCTAACTACTGCTGACTGCCACGTCCCCAGTCAGTCCCAGAAGCTGGCCTCCAGTGAAGGAACTGCAGACCCCTTCCCAGTCCCTCTGGTCCTCACCCTCAGCCCCGGAGGTGGTGCTGGCTCTGCGGCCTTGGGATCTAGAGGCTGAGCAGCTCCTCGGGGCGTCCTTACTGCTCTTCTTCCTCTTCTTTTCCGCCCCTCGCCCCCGGGACCGGCTGCGACTCCTCGAGCGCTTTCGAGAGCCTGCGTGAGCCATGGCGCCTCCGGCTAGAGATGCGGAGGAACGTGCTTAATCTGAGGCTCCAGGGGGACTCTACTCAGGGCGCCTAGCACCCAATACTGTCCCGCGGCGGGAATTCCGGGAACCCTGACGTTCCCACCCATCTCGCCCTTGGAGACCACAGGTTATTCGCCCCCCCTCCCTGCTCCTCCGTTGCAGCCCCTTTAAGGGCCCGCCCCTGTCCCGACGCTCCGCGCCTGCGCAACCGGCTCAGCGCCCTGGGAACTGGCTGAGGCCGGAGAGGTGAGGAATGCTTAGAGTCCTTTCCCGCGCTCTCCGACTGTCCACCCCAACGCCTTCGTCACTTTGTGGAGATTCCCCGGGATTGCTCCGTTACTAACTCAAACGCCCATTAGGCCAGAAAGCCAGAGCCCGTGTGAGGAAGCGGCGGCGAGGTGTCTCCCGGCCCTGAGCAGGGCACCGGAAGAAGGTCCGATCAGGAAACTGTCCGGCGAGGAAGCGAGGCAGAGCTTCAGGTTCCACTGTGTAGCCAAGAAAAAGAGTTGGGGCGCGGCCACCACCGCCCAGAAAATCAGATGACCAAAGCTGCCGCCTCCACCACTGCGAGACCCTACAGCTTCTCAGCTTTTTCACTCCTGTCTTTGCCTTCGCTGGGTCCCCCTCCTTGGCGCACACCCAGTCTCCTCCGTGCCCAAGGAAGACCACCCTACTGCGCTCTGCTGGGCTCCCTTGGTTGTATGCACCTGTCCACCCAGGGGTGCGCCGCCCCTGTCAGGGATTGTACATTTGATAAGAGGCTTTGATTCTGTACGAAGTGCTGTGGGGTTGGGAGAGAGAGACAGGCACCACCAAGCCTAAAGCAGAATCTTTGATGTGGAAAAAAAAATGTAAGTAAGCATAAGGCTGTCTGTGATTACCTAACTAATGGGGTATGTGGCCAGTGTCCACCCCATTAGACTACAGGCTCCAGGCCTGGGTCTCCACCTCATCTTTAAGGTCAACTCTACTTTGGTGGTGCTTATGTGCCGTGGAGTCGGTTCCGACTCATAGTTACCCTGCTACTTTGAGGAGGTCGTATTTTGAGTCTTTTCACTGCCTTCCAACCCAAGGGGGTCATCTTCCAGCACTGTATTACACCTTGAGTCGCCGTTCAGGTTTCCAGTGGCTCGCCATTCACAAGTAGAACGTCTCTCCTTTGTCTTAATCTGGAAGTTCTGCTAAAGCCTGTCCACAATGGGTGACCCTGTTGATATTTTAAATACTGGTGACAGCTTTCAGCATCACAGCCACACACAAGCCACCATAGTATGACAATCTGACAGACAAATGGTGGCCAGTAAGAGGGCACCAAATCACATGTCCACAAGAGCCTGATGTCATGACAACGAATGAGGATGAAAGCATGTGAGTGGACCAGCGGAAAAGCTCCAGCTGATGTGTATGACATGAGCTGGTGTCCTCCAGTGTTCCCAGGGGAGCCAGAAACCAGGTTTTCAAAGGAACACAACTTGCTGTGACCAAGTTGCAAACTCTGACAGCAGCAAACAGAAGGTCGTTAAAAAGCACTTTGTTGTTGTTGTTAGGTGCCATCAAGTCGGTACCGACCCACAGCAACCTTATGTACAGCAGAACGAAACACTGCCCGATCCTAGGCCAACCTCACTACTGTTGCCACACTTGTGTCCATCGATGCTGCTACTGTGGCAATCCATCTCGTTGGGGGTCTTTCTCTTCTCCGCTGACCCTCCACCTTACCAAACATGATATCCTTCTCCAGCGACTGGTCCCGCCTGACAATATATCCGAAGTATAAGAGATGAAGTTTGGCCATCTTGGCCTCCAGGGAGCACTCTAGCTGCACTTCTTCCAACACGGATCTGTTGGGTTTTTTGGCAGCACATGGCACTTTCAATATTCTCCTCCAGCACCAAAACTCAAATGCATCTATTCTTCTACGGTCTTCCTTATTCACTGTCCAGCTTTTGCATGCATATGAGGTTATTGAAAATGCCATGGCTTGGGTCAGGCGCACCTTAGTCCTCAAGGTGACATCTTTGCTTTTCAACACTTTAAAAAAGGTTTTATGCAGCAGATTTGCCCAATGCAATACGTCGTTTAATTTCTTGACTGATGCTTCCATGAGTGTTAATAGTTGATGCAAGAAGAATGAAGTCCTTGACAACTTCAATCTTTTCTCCGTTGGTAAGAATGTTGTTTACTGGTCCAGTGGTGAGGATTTTTGTTTTCTTTACATTGAGATGTAATCCATACAGAAGGCTGTGCTCTTTGATCTTCATCAGTAAATGTTTTAAGTCTTCTTCACTTTCAGCAAACAAGGTTGTATCATCTGCATATTGCAGGTTGTTAATGAGTCTTCCTCCAATCCTGATGCCACGCTTTTCTTCATAGAACCAAGCTTATCAGATAATTTGCTCAGCATGCAGGTTGAAGAAGTATGATGAAAGACTACAACCTTATCACATGTCTTTTTTAATTTTAAACCATTCAGTGTTCCCATGTTCTGTTCGAACTGCTTCTTGGTCCAGGTACAGATTCCTCGTGAGCAGAATTAAATGTTCCGGAATACTCATACTTTGCAATGCTGTCCATAGCTTGTCATGATCCACACAATCGAAAGCCTTTGCATAGTCAATAAAGCACAGGTAAACATCTTTCTGATATTCCCTGCTTTCAGCCAAGATCCATCGGACATCAGCACGTTAGAGTTGTTAAAATGCATTTGACACTTAAGACAGCTTAGAAGCTAGGCTCTTTCCAAAGAAGCTGAGGCACAGAGAGGTCAATTGGCTAACCCAGTCACACAGCTGAAGTGGCAACACCAAGAGTTGAATCTATGTAGGCCCTGCTCTTTGCCCATCTGCACCGAGCCCTGAACAAAACGTGGTTGATGTCCGTCCTGATCCCTTTACAAACAGGAGCACAGGCACGTACCCCAGCTTTGGTGTCCAGAGTTGGCACCTGTACTGATATCGGGAGGCTTCCCTTGGCCACTGGGAGCCATCTTGGTCTGTGCAGAAATGTCTGAGAGGTTACAAACCTCCCTTTTCCCTGTACTCAATAACTGACTCTGGGGGTACAGGAAAGGAAGGACTCCATGCCTCAGAGGAGACTCTGATCTGACTCATGCTTTGGAGCTTTGAGGCTGCACTGAAGACACATTCTAGACAAGTCTCTTCCCTTGCCCTCTGCTGTTTCTTGAGGGACACTCTGTCTCAGGCTCTGCTTCCAAGAGCCCATCTACTAAAAGAATGACCCAGAAACCAAACAGTGCCATGGGTTGCAAAGTGTTTATTTCTGCTCCTCCCAGCCCTCTGGGAGCAGTGGGGGGCGTGGGCAGACAAAGACTCTGCTGGCCACAGTGCCCCCCACTTGCTGGGGCAAAGCACGCTCAAGTCAGTGCGCACACATCCACTGTGATGGGCTCCTCACGAGTGAAGCCGTCACCGAAGCCCTCGTCGTCCACCAGGTCGGGCTCTCGGCAGCACATGGGGCAGAGGCGATTACGCACAGCAGAGACCCGGAGCCAAATGACGAGGTTCCAGCGCTCACCAGAGCCCAGGGGCCGAGCCCCATGCAGCTGGCCACCCCGGTGCAGGACACCCTGGCCCACCACGTGCTCCACCTCCAGCGTCTCCGTCTGGGCTGCAGGTGCCTGCAGACAGCGGGGCTCAGGCCTGGGTAGTCACAATGACCCAGGCCCTGCCCCAAGGCCACACCATCTCACCTGGAAGAAGCCCCCAAAGTACAGGGCGCCTCCTATGAAGGCCTTGCCTAGGGCCACGTTGAGGGTGAGCTCAGCATTGTCATAGTGACAGGCCAGCTCCAGGTCCTGTCCTGGTGCGTATTTAACAACAAAGGCTCGGTGGCTGTCGAGTGGGCCCCCACTGTACTCTGGGTACAATAGGGCCATCAGCGGCTTCAGGAAGCGCTCTCGAAGAGGTGTCACCAGAGGTTCATCTAGGCCTAACTCGTGGAGTAGCACCTGTGGGGACAGAGGGGGGTCCATGGGAATGGCAGGGAGGCTGGGGGCTTCACCCTAGGGACTAAGAAACCCCTCACTATGTCCTCTGGACAGTATTGGGTGCATACGTAAACTCATTCATTCCACAGTAATCCTACCATTATCTCGTTTCACAGCTGGTCTGCAGTATCCGGACCCCCAGCCTCCCGGGCCAGGTCTCACCCACCCCATGGTTGTTCATGGTGTTGGGTCGTCCCTTGGGCAGGTCCGATTGCTCAAAGTGCTCCAGCTCCGCCAGCAGGGTCTGACAGAAGGCCGCCGTGAACACTGGCACCCGGTAGATCCGCTTCTCCTCTGTGGGGGAAGAACAAGGAGTCAGTGCTCTGCTCGGGAGGACAGGCCTGTGTTCCAGTCCCCTCTCTGGTTGTGTGAGCTTGGGCTTGTCTGTTCACTCCCTGAGCCTTGCTTTCCTCATCGACACAATGGGGACAGTGAGAGTCCTTGCCATTCAGGTGCTGCTCTTTCCAGCTGCGTCCACTGGACAGAGACCAGGTTGAGGAGTGAGGGGCACATGGCCCTTCACATAGCAGCCTCAGCCCCACAACATGGTTGTGGACAGAAAGTAGGTAGGAGCTACTCCAGCCTGGGAGAATGTTTCACTCTAATTCAAGTCCCTCCAACTTTCTCCCTCCAGCATCCCACTGACCTAAACTACCAGTAAGAACACCCACACTGGCTGAATGCTTCCTGTGTATGTACCATGCAGGTCCTAGGAATGTATGAACTCAGTTCATCATCACCGCATCTTTATGCTTAGGGGTTATTACCACTCCACAGTTACAGAGAAGGAACCTGAGCCAGAGAACAGGGTGGAGGCAGGGGGAGAGTTGGTGGTCTTTCCTGCTGCCTGCACCTCTACCTTCAGTTTGGTACTTGCTTCAATCACTCCACCCTGCCACTGCCTGCCACAGGGCACTGCGGCATTCTGCCCCTCCAGCAGTTCTGGCTCCAGCTGGTTGGATTTGACTTTGGGGAGACAATCCTGTCTCAAACACCCAATTCACCCCACCTCACCCGACAGCGTCTCCAGCTGCTGCAAGAGGCCCACAAGGTCTGCACCAGGGGATTTGCTGTACTCGGCTGCAGCCCGGAACTCGGGGGCCAAAGCCACATCCTGGGGGCAGAATGGGCAGATGTAGGGCAGGTGGACGTCCAGACCCAGGGCTCCCACCTCCTCACCCAAGCTCGAAGACCTATACCTGCAGCGGGGTGTAGAGGTCAGGCTGCGCTGGGCAGTATGAGCTTGCAATGAGGGCTTTCCTGGCAGCTGACTCAGGCCCCAGCCGCCGCCGCCGTTCCACCTCCTGTTCCAGCTGCAAGGGCACATGGCCCAGGTCAGGGGACAAAGAGGACACCAAGACCCAGGAGAGCCAGTGCAAGCCTCCCCACACTGCTGTAGCCACAAGACTGACTACAGGTAGGTACCACTTTGTTAGCTGACAAGTGTCCCTTCTAGAGGTGGGGACATCTAGAGGCTGAGCCTAGCTGGAAATTGAGCGCCCTCGGTCCACCTCACACTGCTGGACCTGCTCAGGGAGGGCACTAGAGGCCTGGCCAAGCCCCCAGCTGCAGCCTTGGCCCCCACCTAAGCGTAGGAGGAGGTATGTTAGCTCAGGAGCTCAGCAACCTGGTTGGGATCTCCACTCCAGCTGCTGTGAAGCCTGGGCCAAGTGACTTTCCCTCTCTCAGCATCTTACCCACTGTCCTCGCAGCGTCCCCACAGGACAGGGGTGAACAGCTCCTTAGGGTTTCTGAGACTGGCTCTTTAGAACAAGCAGAGCGCCTCGGCTTTCTTCCAAAGAGTGTCAGTTGGGCTTGAACCGCTTACCATGCTGTTAGCAGCCCAATGCTTAACCCATCGCACTACCATGGCATATCTCTGAACCTCAGTTTCTCCCAAAATGGCAGTGCTGGGGACACTTACCCCCCAGAGCTGTCAACATGGCACCATGTGTGACAAAGATAACTTGGTATGTCCCAATATCTTCTAGTGCCAGGCCCTAGGAGGAAGTCTGCAGACACGGAGTGTGTGCAAGTCAAGCAAATTCTGACTCGTAGGGATGCTGTAAGACAGAGCAGATCTGCCCCATAGGGTTTCCTAGCCTGTCACCTACGGTCAGAGGTGGCTGGGCTGCTACCCATAGGTCGAGGGCTCAAACCCATTAGCAGCTCTCAGGGAGACCGATGAGAGAGTCCGCTTCCACAGAGATTACAGCCTTGGAAACTTTCGGGGCAGTCGCTGACTGGAAATTGATGCGAATGGTCATTTTTATAGGAGCAGATCACCTAGCCGTTTCTCCCACAGAGCCTCTGGGTAGACGTGAACCTCCAACCTTTGGCTTAGCACCCACAGGGGCCTTTCGGGTCCAGGGACTGACAAACCTGAGCAGGGGAACCCTCACAAGTCTAAAGGGTGTGTCGGGGTGGGACTGGGGCTTTACCTCTGTTAATAGCTGCTGAAAGTCCCTGGGGCTAACACAGCCTCGGCTGCGCAGGATCTGGGAAGGAAAGGCCAATGAGTCTGGGGGTCAAGGTGTAAACTTCCACTGACCATGTGACCTTGAGCCTCAGTTTCCCTTCAAAACGGGGATAATGAGAACAATGCAGATGACCTGAGATGACCCTCGTTCGCTAACCCGGCGCTGTGAGCCAGGCCCTAAGCCAAGCCCTGTATAATCGGGCCCATTCATTCTTCTGGGAGAGGCAAAGGAGGCCTTAGGGTTCTGTGATCACACCCGTGGGCAAAGCAAATCGCGTTAGGGACCAAGTGCTTTCCTCCACTACTCTGCCCCAGCCCCTTTCTCCAGAGGGACAGGAGGGCGGCGACTCACCGGGCCGTAGTCCCGGAGCAGCTGCTGCTGGTCCTGGAAGCGCATGTGCAGGCCATAGCGCGCCACATACAGGTTCTCGAAGCAGAAGCAGGCGCAGCGATAGAAGCGCCGCGGGGCCCCAGCCGTCGCCATGGCGAACTGCCACCCGCTTAGGTCAGAGCGGCTTCCGTAGGGGCACTTCCGGGTACACTCCCAGGTAAGTGCCCTTGCCCTCCCCAAGTAGCCGAAAGTCTGTTTAAGTTCCGATGTGCAGGAAAGAACTGCAAATCTCCGAAAATGGTCTGCACTCGGGAAGGTTGCGCCACGTGGCGGCTTCCTCAGAATGCCTCAGTTTCCCCATTCGCGAGGCGAGTACAAAGCATGCCACTTCACAGACAAGTAAACTGCGTCCCACATTGACAGTATATGGACAGGTAAGGACTGGGGACCCCCAGGCTTTTTTTACTAGGAGGCCACCTTCTGCTCGGAGTTTTCAAAGATTCTACCGAGCCCTGGTAAAGGCGCCTGGGTGTCCGACCTCGCGCCCTCCCACAGCTCTGAGTACTCTCTTTGTGTGCGCCTGTGCCTGGGTTCGGTATTCACCCCAGCCCCTGCCCAGCACTCCCGGGGCCTCCGCCTGGCTCGGCTGACTAGCCCAGTAGTGTCCTCTTGAAAATCCTCCTCCCAGGGTGACTTCCGGTGATGTGGGTGGAGGATCGTAATGAAGGGCGTGGTCTATTCGTGGTCACGCCCCACACCGTGGTGTGATTTAAGGTCAATTGAAGAGAGATGAGACTTTTGCTCCCACAAAGATTTACAGCCTGGGAAGCCCCATATAAGGTTACTATGAGTCCAAACCGCCTCCAGGCACTTAACATCTACCAAGTAAGAGTCCTGTTGTAGCGCTGTAGGATAAGCTTTGGACTGCTTTTCTGTACAAAGTTGGCAGTTCCTTCTAAACCATACAAAGTCACTATGGGCGGAATCTGACTCCACAGCACTTGACAACTGCCAAGTAGAGGGGAGCTCCATGGCTCTGTACATTTAACACTGGACTGCGCACCACTAGGTCGGGCGGTTCGAGCCCACCCGCAGCTTCTTGGTAACCCTACACAGCATCACTATGAGTAAGAAACTACTCAGCAACTGCCAAGTATTAGAAATGAATCCCGATGTGGCACAAAAAGACACTTGGTGAGACTAAATTACCTCGGCAAGGCCAAATTTACTTCTGCAGAAGGGCGCATGTGCGTAGCTGTGCAGGGACAGGCTAGTGGGCAGCCCACTCGGGTTTTTATCCCTGATGCAAGTCTTAAGGCTGTGTCTCACCCCATTGGCTAGGGCTTCCACTGCACAATCTTTTCCCTTACCTGGTTGGCTAATTCAATTTTTTTAAATTCCCATTCTTCTTATTCCAGGAAGTAGCAAAAAGTAAAAGGAAAGATCAGACAGACAGTCTCTACTCGCTTCAGGAAGAGAGAAAAAAGAAAAAGGTCACCTGAATACAATAAACAGGATTATAATAATTTTGAAGAAAAGGCACTCATTCCCATAATTCCCCCTTTTTCTTCATGTTAGACTTCATTCTTTTCTGCATACTCGGCAAGGAGACATTGACTTTGGTGTTCATATGTTTCTAAGTGAAAAAGGATATTTTGGTATGAAGGTGGGGGGTGTTTGAATAAGGCTGTCCTTTTATACAAGGTATAATACAGCATCCCGTTAGTGTTAATTCGCCAAATATAATAGAGAGGTAAGGACCGAAGTCATAGGTACCTTCCATTTTCCGAAAATGGAAAAGGGGTCATCTATGCCTGAATTTTCGGCAAGTCAGTTAGCTAAGGAGGTCAGCCCTTGTGGTAATGGTACCATCAGGAGCTGTGTTACTGGGAATGAAAGTACAACATTGGACCCCGATTTTAACACATACTCCTCCTTTTTTCTGCTAATATTATTTCTAGAGCTACCCCGTTTTTACAGGCCATTTTGCTACTGTTATTAGAACTGTTTGGAAGGAATGGGCCACTCCATGTGGGTTATAACAAAGGAAGGACTTTTATGGTAATGGCGCGTGGTTCAGCGGATTCTTATCCAGAGAGTGAGCCCCATTTACAGGAAGGATCCTTGTCTTGTCTATATAGTGTTTGGGTCTTTGGGGCCTTCCAGAGTGAGCAAAGGGAGGTGTAAAAGCTGGCATTTGCTACTTCATAAGGTGTGGGTGGGGGGAGAGGGGAGCGAGAGCAAGCAGGTGGGGAGTTCACAGAAGCAAGTAAGTTTTAATTGGGGGCTTGGTTATCTTCTCAGAGAGGAGTTTGTACCAGGAGAAGTTCCCAGAATGTGGCCACTGTCCTTGGAATGAGAGATGTACTCTGGCAGGAAGAGTGGACGCTCAATGCTTGTTTCCACTGGCCTGCCTTCCTACTAGATCCTAATTTCTCTGCTATTCCTTTTATAGCGTCCCTGGTATAATTTACGATTCTTTGTTGATTCTAATAGATGTAACTAATCCAGTCCACATTTGTGTTAATGGTTGATCACCAGCATAATACAGATGCAAACCCTGAAGCTATTTGGTTTCTTGCTTTGAATTCGTTTGGCACCCTCGGGGAACTCCAATACTGTCTATATAAACAACAACGGGGATCAAAAGAGCCATGGGGAGTAGCTACACTTCTCTTGGCCCTATGCCTGTCTTCTGTGGTTGACGGCTGATAGAATGCCAGGGTGAAAGGGATGGCCAACTGCACCACAGCACAGGTGCCACTCCAGTTTGTTGGTAAAGCCCCGAATAATTGTTTCCCGAAGTACCACCAGACATCTGCTTGCAGGGTAGCTGGGGCTGACTGATTCTGAGGCTCTTCAAAGAGTTTGTGCTTGCTGCATCCTGTCAGATTTCCCATGCACATCAAATTCCTCCCATGTCTGGAGAGACACAAAGTGAAATTGACTTTTGAGGCTGGAGGCCTAATGGTCCTGTGGGCTGACCCATAAGACCCCTGACATTAGGGAACAGTAGCGACAATGAGTTACAGGGTTCATTGCCCCAAGCTATAGGGACCAGGGAAAGAATAACCATACAGTGCATGCCCTGAGGGTCTGAGGACCATTCGAGTGGAAAGGGGACCACTTGGCCTTCCGGGCTTCCTGTCGCACAGGCGTAACAATCGCTCTTATTTAGAGTGCAAACAGAATATTTAATCCACTCCAACCAAGCATTCACATCCTCATATCCTGTATCTATAGCTATAGTTTGTCTTAGGTCTTTAACTTCGGTAATCCTAACTTTGAAGAGTCATTTTCAGCTCACGGGGTACCGTCTCCAGATGAGGACACCCATTCCATAGACCCAGATTGCTGCTCTTGGCTCCCTGTCACTAACAGTGGGGACATTAATTGAGATCAGCACTGGGTCCCTCAATTTCCCACAGGATAAAACTTGGCAAACACCTAATTTGATGGTTTGAGGGAGAGAAGCCATAGTTACATCGGCCATCAACTTGACTGGTTAGTCATAGGCAAAAGCCCTTTGCACCTCCCCATGGTAATGATGTGTTTTAGCAATATTAGCTTCCAAACCCTCCCAATTTTGTCAGGGACAGGATGGAAGCCCTGGGTCCTAGGCCTCTCTTACTCTGGTTTCATATCCATCCCTGTATTGTGGAGGGTCAGTGAAAAAGAGGATGATCCCCAGTGAGATGGAATGGCAAAGTGGCAGCATCAATGGGCTCAAGCATGGCAACAATTATGAGGTTGGCCCAGGATCAGGCAGTGTTTTGTTCTGTTGTGCATAAGGTCGCTATGAGTTGGTACCAACTTGATGGCACCTAACACCAATAACAACCCTGAGTTCTCTCCTACTACAGGGATCAAGGAAGTAGGTAGGACATTTCTAGTGCAACAAAAATAGTAATACGAAGAAGAACAACCTCAAGACAAAGATAAAGATATCAAGACCTGAAACCTTAATTGAAGCAGCTGGCCAGAGGCAGCCAAGCCATGAGATACCGCCTAGAGCTGACAGCTGCAGAAGGCACTCCGTTTCCGATAAGCCTGCGCTCCTTTACTAAAAATTGATGACTGTTCAACATACCACTCCTCCTAATCAATATGTGTTAGCCTGCTCTTACAGGAAGAAACCCCATACTTTTATAAGCCCCAGTGAACCCCAATTCTACCAGTCTTCTGAGAAGTGGCGACTCAGTGGGACTAATTCTTAAGACCCTCAAGAGCAAGAGGAACCAGGGAAAAACATGACAGTCTGTCAGAGGTATGGCAAGGCAGCCTCTCAGAATCTTCTTGGGAACACTTTGAAAGGTTCCCTACGCAAGGAATGTCCTTCCCACCAGTAACTCCTTTTCCCTTGGGGAGAGTCCTTTGTCACACTGGTCCCTTTACTTGAGTATAGTCAGTCCTCTCCTCTGCAGTCCACAGTCTGGACGGCTATCTCAATGGTCAACCACACCTGGGAAGGGCCCTCACAGTCCGACTGGAATCTGTCCTCTTTCCAGATCTTGGTCCACACCAAGCCTCCCGGTCAGAAGTGACGAATGGTGAATTTGAAGGGATGGGTTTGGACCAAGAGTTCTTTTAATGTCTACAGCACAATATACTTTTCTTCCTCTTAACAAGACGAAATACATACATACAGGGTGGCCCAAATTTTAACAAAAACATGTTTTCAATTCAGAAAAAGTATTGGTACACCAAGTATCCTTTAAAACAGTATTATGGTCTCAGAGGGTCTGAAACATTAATACAAAAATAAAACACACATACATAAAGTCATGAGAAATGTACAGTTCAAAAATTTGCTATTACACCAACCAAACAAATCCTTAACCACCTGTTTTTTTGAAGTGTTTTATTGTGAATTATGTGA